TCGCGAACGTGTCGTAGGACACTCAGTCTGGAAGACAAGAAGTCATCGACTTCTTTGCGGATGGTGGGAGGGGGGTGACGACCGCTAGCCGTTCTGCTATTCCTCCCCCCCACCATGCCCTGAGCCATGGAATGGCGGCGTCAGCGGGACGCGAGGGTGAATCAGCCAGTTCACGTAGAACGGCGTGTAACCGGTAGAGGAATGCACCGCATTGTTCAGCAAACTCTACGAGTGGCAACATGGCGCTCCACCGCCTCGACGTCTCAGCGCGGATGCTACGAAGAACGTCTTCGATGACGCGATTCACCCTATCGGTTTGACCATCGGTCTGCAAAGGATTCGCTGTCGACATATCCAACTAGGTGCCGAGCACCTTGAAGATAGTCGACCAAAACCTTCCCGTGAAACGGGGTCTCTATAAAAGACAATCGACTCTGGGAGTCCGTGTTGACGGAAAACACGATCTGCGAACAGCGTTGCTGTACCGACTGCGTCGATGGTGTCTAGCACCGCCGCCAAATGAGCCATCTTGCTCAACCGGTCAACGCATACCACGACACCCGTGTTGCCCACCGAATCTTTCGGCAGGCCAAAAACAAAGTCCAAACTCATGGACTGCCAGCACCCAGTAGGTACCGGTAAGCTGACCAGCAGCGCAGCCGCATTTGAAGAGGGTTTCACCCGTTGACACGTCTCACATATACGCACATAAGTGCTCGTCCATTTGTACAGCTTGGGCCACCAATAATGGTGACTCACAGAGTTGTACGTTTTCTCACGACCGAGATGACCACTGAGTGGCGTGTTGTGAGCCTATAGAGGATGCGTTTTTTCAAATCCTCATCACGAGGAACCACAATTCGTGGTGTATCCGTTAAATCGGTGCTATAATATAGCAACCCATTATTCAACGAATCTCGGTGCAATCGTGCACGCAATCTTGATTACAATTTCTTGTCCGGGTTTCCAAGCTCCTTGCTCTCTAGAGCCCATAGCAACGCTACACACATCTCATCACCCGCATACGCGGTGCGTATCAAATCT